TATTCTGGAATCTGACAAAATCCAAAGGACTTCTGGCCTCAAGTATTTTAGATAAGAGATTCTTAATTTGTTTTAATATTAAAATGAGCTGAGAAAGCAAGCTGAGTAATTTTTTCTATGTTAAATCAAATTATGTAACTCCCTAGTAAAAGCCATCCATTGACTTCCAGCTTTATGTAAAATGATAACCAAGTCCCTTCCCAGTTCATTGACCTTTTCCTTCCCAATTTCTGCAGTCTATGATATTCCAGCTTTCCAGTCTTCCTCTTCCTATTTTAAACACACCATACTCACTTCTCTTCAAGTCCTTGGACAGCCCTGTTCCTTCCATTTGGATTGCCTATTTTGTCAGATCTTCATGTTTGAACTACAACCCAAACATTAGGTTAAAGTGTTCCTCAGGGAGGACTTTTTTCACCACCCAACCTTGGATAACCACCCAGTCACCCTTTGCAATATTACTCTTCACATTTTCTGCACTCCACATAACACTTTGATATTTTAGTCTTTTTTAATATTCACGTATATTTCTATTTTCCCCCACTAAAATGTAAATTATGCATAGGTAACTTGTTCACCTTTTTCAAGGTCAAGTCCCAGGTACCTAGGACAGATCCCATACTCAATAAAGAGGAATGAATACCCTGGAAAGACTGGCAGCAGAAACACAGTGTTAGGCACAGGAGATTGTGTATAATTTTAGGTATTTTTCATACTATTGTTTTCACTTCTATGTTATAAGAATATGTTGGAAATGTATTAAGGATAAACTGATACAGACTGATAGCTTCATTTGAAAGAACTCTCTCTTACATTGCTGGAGTTAATCATCCTGAACTAGAATGCAAATTCACTGCAAGGAGTGCTGCGCCTGAGGGTTGGTGATGCTCTGCGAAGTCTGTGCTTGCTGTTTCTGTCTGAAGATAGAGCTCTCCTGAATAAGGCATTGATCACCCTGTCTTCTAACTTCTCCATACCATTGAGAAATATGGGAGGCAGCATAAGAGACCAAATTTAGTGTGTGAAGGACTCTCTGTTGACAGAGACAGCCTTCCCCAGTGTAACAATGTCCCAGGGCCAGAAGATGTGACCAAAAAGAAAATACTGGCCTCTTGAGAATCCATTTATCTGTGTGTGTGTGTGTGTCTGGAAGGGGGAGGCTTCCAACAAAAATGGGAGAGTTAAATAAAATGGGCCTCTTTAAGAATAAGTTCAGTTTCAGTTTCTCTCAATATTTCTAGAATTTCATTTAAGAACAACTAACTGGTTCTCCAACCAAAATTTCGAAGCCACACAAATTGCATTCACATTGAAATTTCTTTGTAATCCAGACCCTTGCTAACTCAAAGTGTGATCATTCCTGGACCCAGGGATCAGTATTCCTTCAGAGTTTTCTGAGGATAGGAACTTTCAACTCCCATACTAGACTTACTGAATTGGGAAAAATTTGTATTTTAACAAGATCCCCAAGGATACTTATGCACAATAAGAGGTGAACAGTATTACACATTAGCACCTACTAAAGCCCCTTCTAGTAGATGGCTTTACCAGTCACACCTGCTTAGAGAACATCTGGAGACTTAGCCAGTGATATTTGAACAACTAGCACCTTTGAAAAGTCGTTTTTATATACATTGTTATTTTTCTAAATCATACAATAATCCTGCTAATTGCTAAGTGATGCGTATTATCACCAATTTATAGATGAGAAAGCTGGTATTAAGGTGAGAAGATGCACCTCCAAATTATAGAGTCATGGTACTGTCTAATGGAACTGGGCACACACATCACCTACAATATCCCCTGTTAGAATGAGGGATGTTGGCAACAATCTTTCCCAACCCCAACCTGAGCAGTTTATGCTCTGTCAGGGAAATGTGCAGGGCTGCTGCTCAACGTTGAATTTTTAAATTCCCATAGGTACTGAAAAATAAATCACATTCTCCAAGTCATTTGGAGTCAAGCTAAAAATCCAATTATCACCTCGCTAGCTGACACTGTAAACCTCTACATTTCTCAGCAACTAAGAGATAACCTTAAAAACACTCACTCCACTCATTGTATGACCTTCTCCTGCAGTTACTCAGCGTATCTGCTCCGAGACTGAGGTGGGTTAGAATGTCTGACCCTGACTCTTTCTTACTAGATGTGACACATGGGCAAATTGTTTCACCTTTTTGGGCCTTAGGCTTCACCTCTGTAAAGGACAATTCATTTACCTGAATGTAAGGGTTATTGTTTAAATTAAGGGAAACAATGGATGTATAGTGATCATGATCATTAGCTCCGAAAGCAGGTGATAATGGTATTATCACTCACCTCTTGGAGAAAGGTTCCTGTTCTCTTGGTTTTTTTTTTTTTTTTTCTCTTAAACTGAGAGAATTGATTCAAACAACCTCCAACATTCTTCCGTAACTGCTACTGAGACTTTAAATGATGTTTATCCTTCCTGAGAGCTCATCTTCATTTTTTTAAACAACAAAATGGTAGGGTTTATAGGACTAAAATATGAGACTGGTTCCTGATGGAATGAAAATTCAGAGAACACCTACTGGACATAATTATTTAGGTGTGTACTTTGCCTTTAAGATATTAAAGAATAGAAAAAGAAAATTTAAAAGCCTGCAGAATGTATGCTGAGTCAACCTAGACTCTGTTATTACAATAGCAAGGCCATGTCTCTTGACCTCCTCCTCCACGGAGCACAATTTCCTGTGAACAGACTTTCATGTCGGCCCTTAAAGATCTACATTTTCTCTTTTTGCATCACTGTTACTGTTATGATCATGACCCACTTGACACGAAAAGATGAATTGAAATAGCACATAGAACATTTCCAATTTTTGGATCTTATAGGAGGATTTCAGAGTCTTTCCTTTAAATGTCTCATTTAAGGAATGCACTTGCCAACCTGGCACTTGTGTCACTGAGCTAAACCCCTGGCCCTTCAAAACTGTTTTCATAATGATACTTGCCATGTTGGTTGTGTTGCTATTTATTGTGTTGGTGCAGAAGCAGCAGTAGGTAAGCTGCTGGAAACCTCACATGAATCAAATAAGAAAAGGAGAGAAAATGTGCTGGTTATATTCTTTGCTGCTGCACATTCTTGGGGAAGCAGTTTTACTGAAGAAGTTACTTGGGAAAAGAGTATATGTTCTTAATTTCATTAAGTGTTGATATTTAAATCCATGTATATTTAATATCTTGTGTAACAAATTTGAATGGTTGATACATTGTGTCAGTTTGAGGAGTTTAGAAGTTTAACCTAATGACTCAGCAGGGGTCCAGGGTTCTCACTTTGTAAACATCCTCATCCTGTGCAAGAGGGGACCATGGAGATGGTGTAAGTGCCCTAGTGTGGGTAGCCTACTTATATATAATATAAGGGAGAAAAAGAGGTTTATTCCCCTCCCCCGTTATTGCTCTTGTTGCTTTTCTGTCTTCTGCCATCTTGAAAAGTTGCCCTGGTGCCAAGTCACCCTGCCTTGAAGACAGCTGATTATGGACTGAAACTTCCACAAACTGTGAGCTGAATAAACCTTTCCTTTTTTGGGTGTCAGGTATTTTGTCTCAGCAATGAGAGAAAAGTAAGTAGGACAGAAATCGGTACCAGAGAAGTAGGGTCATTGCTGGGACTATACATTACCAGTGTGGTTCAAGAACCCTTGAAATGGCTTGTGGGAAATGTTTTTTGGAGAAGTTTCCTGAAAGAGCGGGGCTAAAACACCTTTGGCTGTTTAGAAGGAAGATTCTGGTCAGAGCTCAAAAGACTAGGAGACTGATAGAAATTCCTCTGGTAATGACCAGACTCGGAAGGTTTATGCTTGGAAGAAGGACTGTATTGCCTGCTGGAGTCCAGACCATGTATGTTATGGCTCAACATAATTTGTATGTATTTTGATATGTCTTCGGCTTCCACCAATAATCAAAGTTGGGCATAGAATTAAATAATAGCCATAATCATTAGAAAAAACTTCTCAATTATTTCCAACTTTCCCAACATCATATCTCTATAAGGTGAAATTTTCTTGTTTAACTCAATCAAAACAACATATTTAGTAAGTCAGTATAAATTCAGATGAAGTAATGCAAATTTTTCTGCTAGGCAAATATTTAAAAGTTTTAAATAATGATATAGGATTTTTGAAAATTATTACCTATTTCTCGTAAAATGAATTAAATTATAATGCATTTATTATCACTACTGTCTGAAGGCCAGTTATTCTTACATGTCTCTAGTTTAATTCATTACTAGAAATTCTTGGTGTATGAGTGTGTTGGGAGATGCTGGGGTGTGATCTCAGGGCCTTATAAATGCCAGTAAAATGTTCTACCACTGAGCTATGACCTCAATCTTTTATAAGAAAATTCTGTAAACAAAAATTCTGTAAAAATTCTGTAAACAATCTTTCATAAGAAAATTCTGTAAACAAAAATTCACTGGACTCAATTATTTTTAAGAGGACAAAGGAGTACGGAGGATAAAGAGTTTAAGAACTGCTGCTGTATCAGATATAAACCAGGCCATCAGCTAAAACAATGTGTTACTGGTGCAAAAACATCTAAGCATGTCAATGAAGAGAATGGAGTCCAGAAAGAGACTCATATATATGATAATTAAATACTATGATAAGGTTTGCATTTTAAATTAGAAATTATATTAGACAAGGTCTTGACAAGAAGCAGATGGCACTGCCAAATGAGGTAATTGAAGAAATTTTAATAAAGAGACTGTTTTCCAGGGTATGAGGAGAGTTGTGAGGAATTTCTAGGGATGGGGAAGCATCATGTTGTTGGAAATGGCAAGAACCTTCACTGTCCCACTCTGAGAGGCCAAAGGGAAGGGAATATGGAAACAGGATAGAACCACTCCCTTCATAGCTGTGGGAGAGATTCCGTGACTTCCAGAGAAAGAGGAACCATTGCCTGGCAACAGCAAGCAGGGAGGGGGCCAGAGGAATGAGTTGCCTCTCTTCTCATTCTTCTCTGATTTCTTACAGGCAGAAATCCAGATAACTGCAGAGAATCAAAGTCTGTAATAAAGAAGGGACGATATGGAGGGACAGGTAGAATATATTCCTTTATGCCTATTTGTTTTTGTTTGTTTGTTTCTTAGCATCTTTGCTTAAATCTGTTCAGCCTCAGATCCCATTTTAATTTGAGAATGGAATGCAGCTGAAAATAGTTTTATGATTCAGTGGGTTAAGTAAGACCCATTACACTATGGCCATTTTAGGTGACAAAGCTGTTTGGTGTCCCTAGGTCTCCTCTCTGGACAAGGCTTTGATGTAACATTACAGTATACAGTAACATTACAGTATAACATGGTTGTTCCCTCCACCAAACAAATTCCTGTGTTGAAATTCTAACTTCCAAGGAGTAGTGTATATTAGAAGATACGATTTGGGGCAGGTTAACTAACTCATGAGAACAAAGCATCCATTGCAACGTTGATGAATTTATAAGAAAAGCAATTAAATCTTTCTCACCAAAAAGCCCACATGAGAACCCAACAAGCTAGAGAACTATCACCAAGAACTTAACCACACTGGTATCCTAACTTTACACTTCTAGCTTCCAGAACTGTGAAAAATAAGTGTTTGAGCCACCTACCCTATTCTTGAGAATATGATAAGGACTACTCAGGTCACTGACACAGAGCCCCTCATTTGCCAACGAGATTACTTTGCTTGAGAAAAAGATGATCAAAGTGAATAAAAAGCCATTAATTCAGTCTGGGCTGGCTCAAGCCAGGTTTCTGCTTACTCAAGCCAAAATCATTTTATTTAATCTGTCAAACAGCACTTCACTAACCCTATCTATTTAATTTCTAGGGGCCCTGGATCAATCAGCTTTTGCTAAAATCTCTGCGTATTGAAACAGCCTGCATTGCAAAGGTTTCCTGTGTTAGCTGTTCCTCCCTTTACGTCTTGAATGGATACCTACCACCATTTATTTGCCCTCTGCCTTTCAAGGTGCATGCTATTTCCCAAGGGAAGTGAGAAAGCCCTGCCTTACTGTAGCATCTTTTGTTCTCTTAAGAAGCAAGACAAAAAAAAAAAAAAAAAGAAGACAGCTACCTGAGAATTTTCTCCTAATCTGGGCGTGTTAATTTCTAGATCAAAGACACAACTCGTACACTGAATGTCCTTTCAGTAATAACCTCAGGATATCCTTCATCAAGATCCAAGGATGGGTCACATTTCTCTTAAATTCTGTGCATTTCTTGACTGAATTTTCATGTTTTATTGTCCTTTCCAGCTAATGTTAAAAGGTTCTCTGTCCTGATTTCCTGAAGTTTTCTAAAACATACTTGTATTCTATTTTCTTCATATTAATATCCTTAGAGTTAACAAAGCCCTGTGCATATGGAATAAATTTTTCCTATCTATTTGGGGAAGCACTAAATCATTATCTCTTGAGTAACTATAGAATAACAATCTGCCTCGTTCTTTTTTCCTTTCTTTGCCTAGATTTGGATTTAGGTATCTGAGTTCCTTTTACCATATTCTACATAACGTTTACAATTTTGCCACATTTTTTTACTTTTACACATCTTTTACTTTTTCCTTGCATCAATCTACCTACTGTCTTTTATACCCACGTAGAAATTAATTCTTTCTTTAAAAATGTCTATTCTGTTGTTTAATCTGCCTTGTATATATAATTGTATTTATATGCCATTTCCAGAACTCATATTTTATTACTATAGTTTTAAGCTCTCTACTGAAATTAAAAATTTCTCTTTAGTTTCTTACCCATATTAATCAGAGTTATTGAAATCTCTGTATGATACCAATATGTGAATTTTCTGTGGATTGCTTACTATTTTCTGAACTTCTTTGTCTCTGCATTTTTCAGCCATTTCTCATATTTTATATGCCTACCATTTTTGTTATAGAACACAGCATCTGCATGAAAAATTAAAAAGGGACTCTTAGAATTTCTGAATGATACCACTTCCCTCCAGAAAGTATTTAATTAATGGCAAACAATTAGGAGAGGAACTGATCATCTTAATGAGTTAACATAGCAATGTTGAACTGATTCAGATTCAAGTTTTATTTATTATGCTATCTGGTCTATTTCTTATTTACTTTCACTTCTAAGCAGTGGCCTTTTAGGTATGTAAAGGGAAAACTTCACAAGTTCACTCTCACTCCATGATGGAATTCAAATCTGTTGTCTTTCTAGCTTCATATGATTGCTTCTCAGCATCTTCTCTTCCTTGTGGCATTCCCCTTATATTTTCTCAGGGAACTGCTTTAGAATTTTAAAGCATAAAAAGGATAAAACAGAGTCAAATATTTGGCAGTCCTCTGAACCTCCCTTTCCTCTAAAACTTGTTCCTTCAGGCCCCAACCGGTAGCTTTCCAATGCCTTCATACAGAGTTTTAAAAAGTTCGTTACCCAATTCTTCTTCTGTTTCCCAGCAGAAATATTCGGCTAATACAAACCACTCTTCCACAGGTGGAAGCAGAAATTTTATCTCATATTTTCATTGGTTATTTTTTAACCTGATTTTCACATTAGAACTAATCTATCAACAAAATATTGAAGACTTCTATTGAGAATTTAAATTCATTTCTGATTTCTGTTTTTAACTTCTTGATTTTTTACTGGTTTTTTTTTTTTATCTATGGAAGCTCCCTTTTTGTTTTTGTCATAAATTTTTTGAAAATTCGAGATTCTATACTGTAGAGAGAATTTTCTTTATATTTTGGTCATACAAAACACTTTTTAATCAGAAGAATTATATTCTTCAGATTAAAATATAATTTTAATTATTTTTTGCCATTCATTTGATGCAGTTTTTCCTGTTGTCTCTCTTTGAAGTTACATTATATGGATACAGGTTCATTCAGGTTGATTTTTTGCTTCCTACTTCCTTTTGTATGCTATTTGTCTATTTTTAAAATCTAATTTTCTGGGAGATTTTCTTAACTTTATTTTGTAAGATTTCCGTTGACCATTCACTGCTGGTAGCATATTTTATATTTACATAGACTCTTTCAGGTTCTCTGATTTTCAGCATGAATGAATTTTTGCACCATGGAAGTAAATATTTTATCTTTTTGAGGTTGTTGCTGGTTTTTCAAAATCAAATATTTATGTCTTATGTCTTATGTGACCGTTGATGTCTCTAAATGTACTGGCTGCTTTTTTACATTAAGGACTCTCATAAGGTATCACACGATATGATCTTTGGCTGCCTGATCACACTGAATGATCTGACAATACAAAGATCTTTGGAAGTTCCCTGAGTAAGACTAGGAATTTCTGCCTGAAAGTTTCCCTGGAGAGTGATCTTTAAATGCTTTTCTCTGCTTGGAAATCCTTAGGGAAGATCAGTTCCCTTCCTGCAGAAGTAATTTTGGTTGATATTGTTCTGAGGATCCCCTGCACTATATTTAGTACATTATTCTTGTCCTTGGTTGTACTCAGATTCCCGTTATGAAGAGATTCTCTGATACTTTCCAGAGATTAAGTCCTCAATTTTCTGCTAACAAAATAATGAGGGAATCTGGCCATTAACTATTTCAAGAGTGTTTCATGTAAAATGCTGGTAAACTCATCTTTACCACCATTTTTGGAGGTGCTCAATAGTTTTGATTTCTGTTGTGAAGATTTCTTTGTTATTTTGGTTTTCATTGTTTTATTGTCTATTTTATTTTAAAAGACATATTTCTTCAGCCTCATGACCAGACTACACATTTAACAAACAATAGCATGAGTACAAAAAGAAAAAGAAAAAGAAAGAAAAATTTTTTCAAAGTTTCCACAGGAGGAAAACTAAACCTATCATAAAATCAGTCACAAACATAGGACTTTCCTGACCACACATGTAAATATTGTCTAAACATGTCTTCATTGTAACCATGAGGACCTGTCACCAAAGTGCTTGCCTGAGTTCATGAATCAGCTACAGCCTGTATCTTCCTCTGCTACTTCTCTGGCTCTACTCTCCTATTAAGCTTTGTTTCTTGGCAAGAATTAAAACCTTCTTCTCCTGTCTTAACTACTGATGCTCCTGGAACTGCCTTAGCAACAACAACCATAGGAACCAGGGCTTCTGTCTTCAAAGTTTCCTCCCTTCTGGGTCTAGAATTTGAATACTGATGATTGGAACTGCCAAAATCCTTGTTGCTTCTACCACCAACAAAATTGCTTACATCATTTCCAATCCATTGTAGCCATCTCCACTGCTACCATGTCTAGCACCACCATGACTGCCATTAAAACAACGATGACCACTGTAGATTCTGCTATGACCAAAATTGTCATTGCCACCAAAACCACTTCCATTACCACTATTAAAGTTTCCAGAACCATTTTGCTCTCCTTGGCTATAGAGAAGCACTAGGCATCTTGTGTTTTCTTAGGGCTTTTCCCACTTCATGATGGTGACCATCCATACTGTAGTATTTCTGAATGACAATCTTATCAGTGGAGTCGTTGTCATCTAAGGTCACAAAAAGAATCCTTTCTTCTTTCTGCTAGGTCAATCTTGATTTTAATTTTCTCATCCTGTACTAAATAATCTCACAGATGGTGGTCTTCTGTGTTTTCTTCAGTGATATCCACAAAGATCTATTTCATACTTAAATGGGTACACAATCTTCGAGAATTTTCTTTTGAGATGTTTCTCTTTGGTGCCATGCCTCTTGCATTCACCTCATGTGGTGTGTGCTCATGACCGCATCCACTTCCTCCAAAGTGACAAAGTGACAAGCTGAATGCCCCTGGAGTGCTTAGTATTCAGATCTCTCATCACAAAGCAGTGTTTATATGTGTGCGTTGCCCAGAATGGCTCTTCAAGTTCTCACCACTTTTTCAAGTTCATCCCTCTGACAAAGCTCTTCCATAGCTGTGTGAACCCTTTAGAAGACTCTGACTTAGACATGACAGCAATGGGAAGAGAGACCAGTGCTGTTTCTCAGTGTGTCCTTAGTGCATCGCCAAGCAAAAATGTGAGGTTTTGAAATATAAATTAGCTTGCTGGTGAGATACTGAAAGCTCTCCCACAGAGTTCAGTTGTTCTTCATTTGGTTCATTTCGCCACCACGTGTTCATCTAACTTCCAACTTCCAGAATGCACCGCTGTTGTTTCCTGTCTTGTTTTTTGGGTTTGTGCAAAGCTTTCTCCAACCTGTCATTGTGATGGAATTTCAGGAGACTGAAGATAAAGGCAGGCATGTTATAATTGCGAGCCATTGTTTACTTTTAATTGCAAACCATCTTGTACTGCTTTATAATTGCACATATTATTTTTAATAGCAAATATATTAGAAAGAAAATATTTTAAGTGCAAATGACAAAGTATGACTATAAATTGACTGGCCCAGCGAATTTGACAGTGAGAGTCAGGGCTTACGTTGGAGTACGTAACTGGCAGTATAAAACCTGGAAAACTTTCATGTTGTTTGATTTCTTTAACTACAAGTAGGTATTCATGATGTAATTCAATTAAAAATAATAGCAAAAGAAAAATGCATACAAGTTTAACAGGTATATATAAATGTGTACATTTTGGCATTAATAAGGCTAGACTTTCGGTGGAAATAGATTAGTATTACTGATAAAACATATACTTTGAAGTAGAGAAAAATACACTGATATCTGAAGCTCTGAAATGTGTGCATACATTTTGCTAGAGCTAATAATCCCCACAGGAAAACCTGTATGTATGTATGAAATGCCTTTGCGTGATCCACATCAAAACACTTTCAACTCAAACAAAAATCAAGGGGAGTAAAATTCACCCAGGATCCAAGCAACGTAATATGTGGATGACTTGAAGACATTCTAATAAATACAAGAAGTTTACACTATAAATATAGTGTCAATCAAGTATTAATTGCAAGACCTCAAAGCTTATATATTAATAAAGTCCCAGTTAAGAATGATTAGGCAGCATAATTGTATTGGCCATTTTCTTTCTCCTTTTCCATTTACAGCACTTACTGTGTATCAACATATACCAAAGTGTGGTGGTGCTAAGGTGCTGAGTAGTCAATGTCTAATATATTGGATTTCTGCTCTGGAATTGTTTGTATTGCTTTGAATGAACCAGCAGCATCCCGAAACCCCTATCCAGTGACAGGAAATCTTCTGTTAGCCTCTCTGCCTACTATTTAACTTTTCATAGAAGACAGTCAAAGGCTGTTTGCAGTTTCGCCAGGTATAATCCTTTCTGCCTTAGCTCCACAGCAGTTTACAAGAGATTGTCATTTTCCTTACTATTGTTTTCTTCTTCCCGCGTGTCAATGATTTCTGTTCCTGGCTTCTATTCTTCAAAAGTTCTACCACATGAGACCTGTAAGACAACACCAAATCAGTCTAGCAGTGCTGTGCAGGAGGTATTTATGCATCTGAGTGCTACAGTTCCTACAGAGGCTTTCCAATGTACTCAAGCCCTCTTTGCAATTGGGCTGCCTCTGATCTCTCTTTAGGCCTGATCAAGATTTAGCTAGTTCACAGTGACTTTACTTTCTAAGGAAAAAGTGTTTTTGAGCATTCACCAAATTTTGACACTCTGAATACATATCTTACTTCCTCCTTTCCGTCCTGGGTGGTCAAAATGGAAAGTGATGTGGCGCATAGAGGAAGTAGAGTTGGATGGTCTGGGAAGGTAGCCCAGCTATGCTGCTTCCTGGCTGCATTATGTTAAGCAAGTCATTCAGACTCTAGGAGCTTCACATATTACATTCTCCATTCGTAACCTTTCTTTTTAAAGAGATGAGTTAATACATAAAAAATGCAACAGTGCTCGCACACAAGCAGCACTATGTAAATATTAACTAGGATTTATTCACTCTACAAAGGAGAGAGAATCAGAGGGATTTAAGTTGTTCATGTTTGAAAAGCTAGTAAGCAGCATAACACCAATGAATAGCTTTATCTTTTTTTTAAGGGTTATCTAATTTGGGGGGCTATCTACATTATTACAAACTTTGATGTTTTAAGCTGGTCTGATCAATAGTTCTAAGTCTAAATCTTCATGTATACAAAATTACTTGACTTCTCACATAGAATAAAAGCCATAGGAAAAATGTTTAAGATTTTTATGTGTATTACCAAAACATTTTTGTTTCCTTTCTCACTGGTCAACCATTAACACAATTATTCACTCAATGATTTCCAGCATTAGATAAAACACTTTTTACATCAACACCCAGACTTCCAATGTTAACACTATGTTAAGGAGACAATTTTCACATTTTTCTCTTTTGCTCCTGTCTTTGCTATTATTCATCAAGAATTAAATGCTATCCCCACTCATTTAGAAAAGGTAGATAAACATTCCAAACTGTTGTTTCTGTTTCCTAGCACAGTATGTACCATTTAGTAGAAGTGTCTCATATCCAGCGTATTTTGGTGGGGATGACACTGAACTGCTAGGGTCAGTATTTCCATTCATTCAGCTTTCTCTCTGTAAGTGGTTATAAGTCATTTCTCAAACCCGGTTCCTGTCCTCTGACTACAACAATTAGAAATGAGATTTAAATTTTTTTCATATATGACTTCAAAGTGAATATTATTGCTTGGAGGTTTTGGGGTTTTGTTCCCTAAAAATTAAATGTTAATTTATTCAAATTTAGTCATAAACAACAGTACTGTTGGCATCCCCTAAAGACCTTATTTCTTGCTTGGGGTTTCTATGGAAGTAGAATTGATAACCAGAATGGAAAGAAGGTATGAGAACAGAAGGAAAGAAAGACTGTACTAGTGGATTCTGTATTGAACGGATGTTTGAAGACATTTGTTCCAGAGAAAGAGAGAAAAAGAGAGACAGAGACAGAGACAGAGAATGTTTTCAACCATACTGGGTATTGAACCAAGGAACTTGCATATGCCAGGCAAGTACTTTATCACTGAGCTACGTCCACAGCCTGAAATCTAATTTTATACCCAGAAGTTGCTTAAGTCTCTACAATTAAAAACAAATTTAAAATCAACCAGTTACAGGCTTGAGGGAGGAGTAAAGTCTAGGAACTTTATGGCTGAGTTACCAGTTCCCAGATCAATACTAGGTAATTGATTAAATAAGATTACTGTGAAGACACTTATGCCTTTAAATTCTATTGCATATAGAAATAGAATAAGTAGAGGTGCTAAATGACATTAGAAGCACACAAATTGTGTATGTGAAGAGTACTGTGTACTAGTACATGTCAGACAATCAGTTCTCTAAACAAAGCAAAAAAGACTTGATTTCGGTATTTGCCAATTTCTATGGTGTAAATTTTCACATGCTGCCCAATTTAAGCTACCAGCATAGTATCACTGAATGTCGAGGAGGAGAGTTGGGCACAATATACTTTCAAAGAACTTGGTGCTAGCATACTACCATGGAAACTTCAAAACAACTGCAATGCAGTACATTATAGCCAGAATCCATAACTGCAGCTGTCTGCATCACAATTAACCTAATACGTGCTATCAATTATTCAAAAATGCGTAATAAAACTTAAGAATAAATTTTTGTGCTTGTGCTGCTCCCCAGTTTATGTGGTCAGTGGCACCATTTGATCTGCATCTACAAAGTTTCTCCTTGATCTGTACCAAATAAATGAAGACGACCTCCTTGTGGCTGAAGAAAATGAATTATTAACCCCTAGGGCCACAGAAAATAAATAGGGAGGTTTTGTTCAAGCTAAGGAAAATAAATTAAACATGAAAGATGCTATTTCAGGGCCAAACATTTATCATTTTTAAAGCTGGTCGAGGGTGAGACTAATATTGCCAAGTGCCGGGGAGTAGTTCTATTGTGTTTCCCTAAAAAACTGATTCTAAACCAAGATCCAGCCATCCTTTGAATTTCAAACCATTGCTGACTGTATGCTGGTAGCTCATACCTCTTCCTGTTCTTCAACAAATAAATTGCCGTCCTTCTCTCTTGAATATTGTGCTACTGTTCTGTTTCCTTCCTGACATGTTTTGCATGTAAGCAGTAAATTGTCCTGTTTCAGCTCAGAGAAAAGTTGTCAGAGAATATAGTCAAAGTCATCTTCTCCTGTTTGTAGACAGTCTTTTCTCCAAGGGATGCGGAAGTGTTGGGGCTCCAACCGCCATCTATGCATGATTTATCATTATTTCGGTGCCTGACTTGTGAGTGGAGGAGTTTATGCTTAAACTACTACTTTATGTAGCAGTGCCTATAAAAACAAAAAAAAAAAAAAAAAAACTAAATCTGAGAGAAGGAGCATGGCATGCATAGATTTAAAAAAGATACATTTCATTATTACTCTGTTACAAATTTCTCACTTACTATTGGCTAGAGAATAAATGGACAAGCCAAAAAAAAAAAAAAAAAAACTTCAACCTTCCACTTGAAGAGCATAAAATCATGGAAAGTTGACAAGAGAAAAAAAATAGAAGTTAAAACTAGTTCTTGGATTTTGGAGTGTAACCGTGCTCAATGTGTCTCATAGATGTGAGGTTTACTTTATCTTTCACATAAAACTACAGTTTGCAGAGAGTTTCTATTTGTGATTCTCTGTTCTTTATGTGTGGTTTGAATCATATGATTTGAATGTACGAAGCTGTAAGCAGCAGCACCTTAATGAACCATAGCAATTTAACATGGAATCCGTGTCATCTGTAGCCACCTTGGACAACAGAGTTTTGTAATGTGTGATACCCAGAATCTTTTGCTTCTTATTTCTTGGTAAGTCCTCAGCTTCAAGTATTGGATCTCAGTGCCCAGGATAAAGCACAGGAATGTACTTTTCATTTTTATCTACCTAGATGATTCTTTGAATACTGACATTTGATGCACGGTTATTTGGAGATTAATTCTCTGCAAAGCTTATTGACTTTCAAAGGTCCAAATAACCCACATTCTGACCAACAGACTTTTCTACAATGACTTTATGGCATTGGTTACATGCATTGTTTCAAAAGTAATCACTCCAAGACTGTTCAACACTTGCCATTCAGTATTTCTCCCATCTCCAAAGACTTTCTGTAAGCTAATTTTGATTTTTTTCTGGAAGGTCTTTAATTTAGGATGTCAGAGGTACTGCCCCATAAAGGTAAGCTGGTTTTCTGGAGAGATGATTGATTCCTCTTTGGTTCTTTGTTATTAAACTTCTGGCCTTATACTTTTGAGCTCAGATGATGAATTCAACTCTATATGTTTTCTTCCTTATAAAGAGACTTCAAACAAATTAGCAGACACTTTAAAGCCTCAGTGGTCAAAGGGAGCTAATGTCATCTAACTTGCAGGGTTAGTGTAAGAATTAAATATTATATGAGAATGAAAAGAGAAGCAGAAAGTACTCGGTGAAAATAATTTTATTCTCGAAGACATGTCAGAAGTAACTGTGACCTAAATTCTAAATCATCAAAAGAAGCCTAGATTTTGTGTTTAGGGAAATTTTAATTGAAAATTTAATTGGAACTTCCCACTTCAAAAACACAGTCAGTTAAATACAAAGATAACATCAATCAGCAGGACTTTGAAACCAAATTTTGTCAAATTACAAGTTTTCCTGCAAAAGAAGAATCAGTGTTAGAGTATCCCTTCCTTCTCAGCCTTGGAATAGGCCAGAGTGATCTGCTATTATTTATTATATTTCTATTCCAGCTATAAGCAATTGAGAAGATACTTTCTCCTTTTGGTTTTCTGAAAGGAAAAATGATGCATAACAACCTCACGTAGATATGTTTGTGTATTTACATATGTGTGTGTGCTCCTCCATGTGAGATCAGTTTCACTATAGTAAAAATGCTGAATATTACATTATAAATATATCTTACTACTTTCAAAACCATTTTAAAATTTTAAATAGCATCAATATATTACTCTTATGAAAATGGATGTTACCATGGGTATTTATATTTAATAAAGTATCCTTTAGCAGAAGGCCATATTAACGAACAGCCTCATCTAACTGGAACAAATCCAAAAATTAAATATTAGACACATGTGCACACATTTTCATACTTGTATAAGCATGCAAAACATACAGAAACTCTGTAATAGATATCTTAAAACCTATACATATAACTCCATGAAGTTTACTGTAAAGAATCCCAACTTTAAAACTCAATCACTCTCATTTTGAGGCTCCCTGCTATATTAATAGGGGTAGAGCCAGCCAGCATGCAATACATTGTCCACAGAAAGGGATGCTACCAGTTTATGCCTTGCTAAGTCATGAGGCAAGAGAGTGCTCATACATCACCACAAATAACATGAACACTGTACTAGTTAGGACCATTTCCCTGATGGGTTATAGATACTGCAGCGGTTCTTGAGACACTGAAGCTGTTAGTATACCGTGCAGTATCCAATGTCTACTGTTGATTGTGCAGTACCCAGAAAGCACGGACTATGCATAATATTTGAGTTCTGTGAAACATATTACTGATATATAAAAGAAGATCTTGAAAACATGTATGAAGAAATCCAACAAGATAGAAATTCTGGGGCTGGGGATTTAGCTCAGTGGCATAGCACCTGCCTAGCAAGCGCCAGGTTGTAAGTTTGATTCCCAGTACCAAAAAAATAAAATAAAATAAAACAAGGATAGGAATAGTGTTTTGATATAAATTATTTAAATCCCCCCCCAAAATAAGAAGACCTAATACCTACTAAATGAACACAACAATTCTCATGTAAATATTCTAAGCCAGAGGCTTAAAAATTACATAAGTATAAGCAACTTCCAGAGAAAGTTCTTAGGTTTGTTTATTCCCCTATCAACAATAACTGCAATGTTTCTTCTGCAAAAGTATGAGCACCTCTGAAAAAGATGGTTAGAGAAATCAGTTAGGAAGTGTTTAAATGAAAATTTTTATCATGCATAGTCAGAAACCATATTCGAGAATTGTACATTTCTGTGTAACCTAATTTTAGGCCTCCTAAAAAGCCTTAAATTATCTTAAAACTTTCTGACTTAGCTAAAGATCAATGAAATTAATCAGTCTTTTCCTCTGCAATTAGACACTGATGAAAGACTGATGTCCATTACACCTTTTAAGACATCATTAGAATTTCATACAGATATTTCACTTTTGCATACCTCATTAAA